TTCACTGATTTCATCTCCTTGTCAAAGATCAGTTGACCATAGATAGATGGGTTGATCTCTGGATTCTCAATTCGATTCCATTGATCTATGTGTCTGAGATGCCTAATTTTTAAGGTCCAACTCAAGTCAATTTTTCTTTCAAGAACCAACACCAAATAGTTTCCTTTGCTCACACTTGGTTGGCTTGTCCCTCATACACTCCACTATACCAAACACATCACAGTCTTTGAAGAAAATTACTGGTTTGCATTTCTTGATTTATCCCACACCTAACAGTTTCCTTCAAGAGAGAGCTACGTTGTCCTACTGGAAAGGAAGCTATGCTACCAAGTCAAAGGTGGGTGATTTTCATCTGTGGCCCTTGGCCAGGCTCAAAGTGTTTTCCTGTGAAACATTCTTCTAGGTGGTATAGCACTGGTCTGTGCGTTGCTGTACAGAGGTAACTCGTAGTTGCTATGATGCTGAAGCCTGTGACAGTGATGTGCCAATCGTGGTAATGGGAACCCATGGTGGACAGTGTTGGCTGCAGCTTCCCAATTAAATCAAGCCTGGAAGCAGGAGCGGCATCCACTTCTGAAATGGCTTGCCTCCAGAAACTCTATGTACGAACAGTGCTCAGGCCGTTCGTTCATAGGGTCACTATGAGTCGTCTATGAAAGGAAACAACAGTTTCCTTCAGCCCATCTGTCCTGAGGAGGGATCTTCAGAATACAGCAACAACTAGCTTTCTCCCAGGAGCACCCCAAATCTGTCCCTTCAAGAGAGAGAAGTGGGAGGGCAGGATAATCTTGTGAGAAGTGGAGCCTGCAGAGAAAATAGCATAGACTTTGAAGTTAGACCTGAAATTGAATTTTGACCTTGACATTTAACTGTGTTAGACAGGTGATGTAAGCCCATAGAGCATCATGCCCATGAGACAAAAAAAAAACAAAAAACACAAAACCAAAAAACAAAAAAACACCCAACCTAAAACTAAAACCATGGTTAAACTTAATAGCATAATTTCCTCTCTACCTATTCAATTTTACATGTAATTATTTTTTTTTTGCTCACTTTCTTGTCACTACAAACAAGTAACATAATTAAATATTTCTCAGGGACTAAAACAGGTAGAAAGGAGGGCCCTTGTGGCGTAATGGGCAATCTCTCCCTGCAATTTGCAGCTTTTCCAAAACCTCATGGAGGGTTAGCTATGAGTTGGTACTGATTTAACAGCCATGAGAAATGAGAAAATTTGTAGAAAAGGTTTCCTTTCAAATGCATATATAGGAAATATATTTTCTTTTTCAGAGAAA